ATTTTATAAAATATTTTATTCATTTATTTATTATGTGTATGAGTGTGTTGCTTGCATGTATGTGAATGCACCCATGTCATGCATGCCCAGGAAGGTCAAAAGAGGGAGTTGGAACCCTGGAACTGGAGTTACAGATTGTTGTTAGCCACCATAAGAGTGCTAGGAACTGAACTTGAGTGCTCTGTAGCAGCAACTAGTGTTCTTAACCATGAGCCATCTCTCCAGCCCCCAGGAATGGAGTCATTCCTTTTGAGAGTATTTCCATGGTGAGTTTCTCATGCTACAGTGAATGTACCAACATTCACGCACAGATGAGCAGCAGTAACTGGACTTAGTGGGCTACTAATAAAAAGGCATGCAGTTGGGAGGAGTTTATGTTGGGGAGCTACAAAGAGTTGAGGTAGGAAATGGGGGGGTTAGATATGATCATATTTAATTGTATGCATGTAAAAAATTCTCAGTAATAACCATCATAAAAGATTTAGCCTTTAAAATTATACTTCCTACGGCAGACTGGACAAAAGCAAGGAGTAAGGAGGCAAACATGGTTCCATATATAAAGTTCTGAGAAAGTAGAACACAGCATGTCAAAATGTAGTCTGATGGACAAATTTGCTTTCTAAGGAAGAAGAAAATTGTAATCTTTGTTTTGAGTGTGTGCCTTCCCAGATAAAAATTATAAAATCTGTTTTATGTAGAAGGAGAAAATGGGTGTTGGGAATTGATAAACATGAAGGAATTTCAACATGCTGTATGAAGGACTGGGTGCTTAGGCGACAGACACAGGGCTGTGAATAGGAAGTGATAAGCTCCCAGGGCCCTGAAATAAAAGGAAGTAATTTTTGGTATGTAAATTTAGGATTTCAAGCTGGACATGATGGCTAATGATGGAGACTAAGTCAGGAAGATTAAAGATTTGAAGCAGCCTAGACCACATAGTAAGTTTCATGCTAGCCTGGGCTATAGAGTGGGCTCTCAAAAAGACCAAAAAAAAAAAAAACAAAAAAAAACAAAATGCGTGATTTCCTGTAGCCACATCAGGCCTGGAACTCACTATGTAGACAAGGCTGGCCTCAGTCGCACAGAGATTCACCAGCCCCTGCTTCTTGGGTGCTGAGATTAGAGGTGTGCACCACCACAACCGGCTATGCTTGAGTTTTGTAGGGGTCAAGATGGTTAGGTGTTGAGGAAATTCTTACAAGAACAGAGAACTATACCAGTTACTGAGAAACAGGAGGCTGATTACCTTGTCAAGACCTCAGAAGCTTATTTCTTCAGCACCTCAGTTACTGGGGAACAGGATGTGTTTTCCAAGGCTCAGTGGACCCCTTAATACCAGGAACCATTCAGACCTACTGAACTGAGAATCTGTGGTTTAGCATGTAATTTAGATGCATATTGAGAAGCCATGGCTAATTACAATACAATAAGTGGTCAGAAATTTGGGGCACTATTTTAAAGTACTGTAAGCCTTAGACTTTGAACAGCATTTTTTATCATTTCCTATCATGAGGTCAGTTGGCTGGGATCCTCTTGTCCTACCTGGATAGAGAATCATGGGTAGGAAAGGGGAAACAATTCTAATGTTGGCAGTTGTTCTAGACCCTTCGGTTTCTAAGACCTAGAGACTGGGCTGGTTGTGCCACAGGCTTACAATCCTCAAATAAATGCATCCTCAAATGTTGGTATAGTGCTATGACTATACCAACTCTGGTTGGGGGCTTGTTGCTCTGGCTCGAAAATACCAAAACAAAACAAATAACTCTCCAGAACTCCCTCAAAAAAACTCAAGCATTATGGGACTAAGATGGAAAGCATGGTGCGCATTCAATCAGATACAATTATTCATTAGTACCAGCAGGGGCCTGGTCCAGATTCCAAAACCTACGGTTATCTACAGTCCCTCATGAAAACTACATCTTCCTATAAACTATGCACATCCTCTTTGTATCTCTCTAGATTACTTATAATACCTGATACAATGTAAATACTATGTATGTAGTTATTACACTGTATCGGTTTAGGGAATAATGGCAAAAACTATCTTCACAGTTTTATTAAATCCACAGACTTGTTACCTGAGGACACGGCAGGTCACCTGTATTATGCAACCTTAAATAGATTGTAAGAATGCAAAGTTCTGCAAACAGTACACTACCTTTGGATGATGACTGTTACTTGCAAGATAATTATAGCTATATGAAAATGTATCGCACTGTGTGTGTGTTACAGAAAATGACCTGGGGAGAAATACACTAAATATTGTGTGTTGTGGAATTTTGTTTCCTTCTCCCTTATGCATTGTGTACTTTCCAAATTGTATTTAATTAGCATATATTATTATCATTATTATTAAATCCAAAATAGGCCAAAAAATGTACAATTTCGAAGAAAAATATTCTTCGTAGTGTAGCATACTACCATAGAGTTGGTGGCTTTATGAAATGGCAGTTTATTCTCTTACATGTCTGGATGTTAGAAATCTGAAAGCAAGCGCCCGCTGAGATTCAGGAAGAAGTCGTCCTTACCTCTCCCTAGCTTTTCATAGTATTTGGCATTCCTTGGCTTGTAGTTGCATCTTTCCAGCTTGCCTTTGAGGTCACAAAGCTGGCTTCCTATGTGTGTACGTTCATGTGGTATGTCTTTATCTGTATGTGTGTGCACACATGCATGCGTGCACACACACGTACCTGAGTATAAGCATGTGTGTTTGCAGATGTGCTCACCAGTGTAAGCCAGGTGTTGATATCAGGATATCTTCCTCAATCGCTTCTCCTCCTTATTTATTTTTTTAAGGTATGGTCTCTCAATGAACTTGGAACTTCCACCATTTTGGCTAGACTGGGTGGCCAGTAACCCCTGGGATCTGCCTGTCTCTGTTCCCCTCCACTCCCAGCGCTGGGGCTACAAGCACATATTACCACTCTGGACTTTTTTCTTTTCTTTTTTTTTTTTAATTGCAAAAGTACATGGGATATGAACTCAAGTTTTCATATTTGAACAAGCCCTTTACCCAGTAATCTTTATCTATAGATTTCATCTTCTTGAATGAACATTGATCATGGTGCATTAGGACTTCCCCTTGAAGACCTTTGTTTGGTAACATTTAAAAGGACCCGTTTCAAGGATGGTCACCTAGTCAGCTGTCCACTCTTACAGAAAATAACTGAGATAATCCAAAGAGAAGGCCTACATTGGTTCATGGCTTCAGAAGTTCTAGTCCATGATCTTCTGGCCTGTGGTGTGGTATTGCATCATGGTTGGAATGCATGGTAGGGTAAGACCACTCATCTTAATGGTCTGGATGTCAAAGAGGCTGAGGTATCTCAAAACCCTCCAGGAGAACTCACTTAACGATTAGATTACTTCTGTATAGCCTTTGTCTTCCACGGCTGCCAAATAGTGTTGTGTACTGGGGACTAACCTCTAATGCACAGTTTGGGGGTGATACTTAATCTAAATCATAGCAATCATGTCCATGTACCAAAGGTTAAGAGTCCAACATATATTTTTAGGGAACACAGTTCTTCTCTTAACACAATAATGTCTTAAAACATACATAAAATGAATATTCAAATCCAAACTAGACAGTTTCTTTTTTTCTTTTATTCTAAGGCATTTACACTCTATTCTTCAAGACTCTTCAAGACATTCAGAATAGGATTTTTATTATTGTTGGTGTGTGTGTAGGAAAAACAGGCTTTAAGTATTAGGATTCAGTAAGACTTGATTGTCACAACTTGAGGTATGCTACTTGCCGTCTCTGTGAATCAGGCATGCAGAAGTGTCTGTGACTTCTCTTTGAAGATATTTGCTTTTTGTTCATGGTATACTACATAGCTTACTTAGAGAAGACTCATTTATAATATATTCTTTAATCACTAATGTAAGATTCACAATCCAACATTTAACTATTGAAAATTAGCCAGTACACTAAATGTTAAGATATGGTATACAAATCGGTTTGTATATCTTGAGAAATAACAGATAAAAGTATGACAGTGAAAGACAAAAAAGATATCAGTAGAAACCCCAAACAGATACATCTTTGTATACACTCATGCATACATTTGAACAAAGCTAAGAGCACATCCATCAAAACTGGAAGCCTGAGATAGTGTGTTATCAGACCATTATACTTCTGAGACTTATGAATCTGCATAGGAATGGCCCCATTGATTTCAACACTTTGTTACATATTTTATTTGTAGTATATGTTTAAAGTACTTTAAGTTGTTTTATACTCTTTAAAGAAGGTATTATTGAGCTTTACAGGTGCGTATTTTTATCACGTACACAATGTACTCAAATAACTTATTTTACAATAAAGAATAAAATGTATATTTAATTTGTTTTTATTTGTAAGTATATGTATCTGTGGGAGTTTGTGTGTGGCTATGCGCATGTGAGTGCAGATGTCTGTGGATTCCGGAGCATAGGGTCCCCTAAGAGCTGGAATCACAGGTGGTCATGAGCTGCCCAGTGTTATTGCTAGGAACTGAACTCCAGACTTCCGGAAGAGCAGCATGTGCTCTTAAGCACTGAGCCATCTCTCTAGCCTGAGAATAAATATTTAAAAAGAATTATGCTCTCACCTTTCAGTTTTCTTTACACATGGACTCATTCAGAAAATTGAGTAACTGATGATTCCTAAAGAAAACCACATTTAATTTAAATTAAGTGTACTTACGTGATTTACACGAGAAAACAGCAAATGTGATTATTTCAAGTTTATCTCCTTATAAGTAAAACTTAAAGGAGTGTCTGTAGAACCCTTCTTATTTTTTTTTGCTTGTCATATGTAATTTAGGAATAAATACAGATAAAGTTAAGCTATTTATCTGCTTAGAGGGTGGTCTATGGCTCTTAATTTCATTTTTCAATACTTTGAAGAATTAGGATAGATTGTTGTTGTTATAGGATTGTATTTTGTGGAATTGTTATCATTGCTCAAGTCATTCACAGGGTTTGTAATTGCAGGTGTATCTTTGTCTTTTCAGTGTGTGCAGGAACAGAGAATAAATTGAGCTCTCTCTCCGACCTGGAACAGCAGTACCGAGCCTTGCGCAAATACTATGAAAACTGTGAGGTAGTCATGGGCAACCTGGAGATCACCAGCATTGAGCACAACCGGGACCTCTCCTTTCTGCGGGTACAGCTGTCTCTTTCTTTCTCTTCTCTTCTTTGTGAGTGGACACAATGTACAGAGGAGACCTGCTGGCTTAGACCTGGTGGTTCGACTCTTCTGCCAGGCAGGGTCTGTGACAGTAGGCAGAATTTAAACAACTGAGAAGCACAGGCAGGAAGAGACTGGTAATAACAATGCCATGGTGACTGACACCCTGAGTCTAGAGGATCTGCTGTTGCCATTAGATTGATAAAAGAGTCTGTTGGGGTGTCATACAGGACATACCGCAAGTCTGTTTTTTTCTGACAGGCTGAGTACTAGGAGAATCAGAAGACCAATCAAACAAGAACAGGAGGCTTTAGCTATGGTCTTCTTTTCTTCCCCGTTTCTGTCTCTTTGAGACTGTTTTATATTACTTGAAGGAGAGCAATACTATTTCATCTAAAAAAGGTGTTAGTGGCGTTTGATCTTCAAATTGTAAATGGTTTCAAACAGACTCATGAGAAATCACAAATTATTTCATAGGTCAATGCATACACATTAAATATACACATAAGTACAAAAATATATATGACAGTTACCTGTAGAAATCCACTTTAGAAATTTATTTTGGCTCTCATTTAACCTTACTAGGAAAAAGACTTTAAGAGCAAATGCCTACATTTTAAGTTTTGCCTTAATTGGGAGAGGAAGAGTATGAAATTTGAAGTGACAGTGACCAAGGGAAATAAGAATACAGTTGTTGCAAAACTAAGAATTTACTTTTATGTAACATTTGTTAATATATAATTTAAGAATAGCATATCTGGAATATATATGATGTTTTTCAATAATATTTAAGTATTTTAAAGGAGAACTACCTTACATAAGTCAAACGAAAGCATTCTGAATGTGAATATAGTATTCTGTAGATAATATATTATTTAGAATTATAGTCATTTAAGCAATTCCTTAGTTAGAGGAAGTACTTAAATACTATTCAAATATTTTGACTTAAATATATGTCTATAACTAGTAAAAACTTCAGAAATGAATCATGTGAAACATAAATAGTATGGTGTGGTACATGATACCACTTTAAAAATGATTCTCACAACTGATGGAGTGAATTAAGCTATTTCCTTATTCTATGTCCTGATAGACAAAGCCATGATTCTACAAGTGCCAAAATTTTTAGTTTGTATGGTATTTTGTAATGATGTATTTGACTTTTAAAATTCTGCAGTAAAATTTCATTTGAATGCTAGAAAAAGCATTTTAGAAACATGCATATCTTGGGTGTGGGTTTTTTCTTACTTTTTAAAAATATTTTATTTATTATTATTTTTATTTTATGTGTATGAGTGCATTTCGTGTGTGTATTCAAGTTTACCAGGTGGTAAAATGCCTAGGGAGGTCAGAAGACGGTGTTGGATCCCCTGGAACAGGAGTTATAGAGGGTTGTTAGCTACTGTGTGGGTGCTGGGAATAGCACCCAAGTCCTCTGTTAGAACAGTCTTTGCTCTTCACTGCTGAGCCATCTCTCCAGTCCTAGGTTTCTTGTTTTTAAAAGGCAACAAGCACAAGGTATCCTAGATGACACTTGAGAAACTAAATGACATTCTATTAAAGGGCTGATAAAGAAGGCTGAGTTCTGAAGTAGAGAAAAAAAAGAGCACCTAAGATCCAAACAGCATGAGAGAATCAAAGAATGTAATTCAATGACAATTTTTCCTTTCATCTTCTGTGTCTTCATAGTCACTTTTATTTTTATTGTCACCACACCCACCGTGTTCTGGGAAAAGACACAAGCTGTGACAACCAGAAACCCCTCCCAGGAGGAGTCCGTATTAGAACTAAGAACACTCAGTTTTTAGATGAGTTGTCTGGTCCACAATGGTAGAACACCACCATCTTTTGTCTTATAGTTTGACAAACAGAGAGATGTACAAATAAAAGATTAAAGCACTCCAAAACAGATATATGGTAGAGATAGACAGAAAGACACATTTACCGAAATTACTACCATGGGTATCATTCCTGGTCAGTTTCTAAGCTTCTGATGACTGGTTGAACCCAGTCCTTTCAGTCATTTGGACCGTTAAGATACTCCCAGAATTTGATTGTAACTTTGTAATAGTTTCCCCCTTTCCCCTTTAAACTTGATAATAATTATTTCTTTGTACCATAACTGAAATCCTCTATCTCGTACCCCCTGCCCAAAGATCACAAAAAGAAAGAAAATAGGTCCTGGAAACTGGACTGATGATGGTTGTAGATATAGGTCAGTTGGTAGAGTACTTGCCAACCATACGTAAAGTCTTAGGCTGATCCAGCATCTAACACAGAATAAAAACTACATATGATAGTGCATGTAAAGTAGAGGTAGAGGTCAGTAGTTCAAGGTCATTCCTGATTACATAGAGAGTTCAAGGCCACCCTGGTTACGTTGAAGAGTCTGCCTCAGAAAAAAGAAACATGGGTTGATGATCTACCTTAAATTCTCTTTTAAAAAATATTGTAATGGGAAAAATAGGGAAACTTTAAATGGGAAGCTATGGTGGAATGTTTAGAAAGTGAGACAGAGTGGATAGATAAATAATGCCTAGCTATAAAAAAAAAAACAAAAAAAACAGAGAGACTCATATTAGTCCAACTACTTAATGATAAATTATACATACAACATCTCTACATGAGTTCATGTGTTCAGCTAAAGCTTACATAATAATAAACAGTGCCAAATAGGAGAAATCTTCCTTTGAGTTGTTGGCCAGGGTAGTCTAAGAGTCTCTCAAAATTATACAGGCTATTACTATAGCCCTTGATGGCCTCCCAGAACTTGAAGGTTAGACTCTACTGCTGAAGACAGAACATACTTCAGACACAGGATTTGGAGCAATAGAGCTGCAACTGACCTGGAATCCATTTCCCCTGAAGGCTAGCTCCCATAACTTTGGAGAGCACTATGATGTTATCAAGGGGGATCATCACTTAATGGCCCAACATCAGCTTCATGACCAAATAACCATATCAAGGACCAACATAGCACATGACATTGGCACTTGTCAAGATAAAAGTAGTAGCACTTTTATCTTGTGGCAATCAACAGCTACCTAATTGAACCAAAAGCCCACTCAATGGGAGGAAACTTAAGTGTGGTGTGGGAAACAATCAAATACACGTTGCTGGAGAAGCCATATGTCTTAGGGAAAACCCCAAGATTGTCACATCCCTAGACTAATGTAATATCTTACTATGTGAAAAATATGGATTCTTATATTTACAGATAAGTATTATAGTCACCACTCATCCAAGAAGCTTCTTTTGCACCACATGGAGACTATTATCAGGAACCACAACTGGTCACACACAAACATTGTCTATGAATTGTCCTGGCCTAAATGACACATCTACAATGCAACCTCTACACCTAAGGCACATGGAACATAGAACCAGGGGTAAAGAGGACACTAATGAATAGCTCAATTCTCATATGAAGCTCCTCCATGCCACAGAGGGCCAGGAACACAAATTTACAAAGCATAGAGTCTGCAAAATGCTGGTCATTAGACAGGACTCCTATATTAAATTTCACCCTCCTAGAGCTCAGAGAGCATGGTGGAAGACGGGGCAGAAAGATTGTAAGACCAGGGGAAGAGGTGCATAACCATATGGAAACAGAATCCTACAAACTCCTGGGACCCTGCTCATATGAATCTATAGCAATGGTGTCAGTGTATGTAAGTCCCATGCAAACTCAAGTAGGCAGAAAACCCAGCATAGAACTAGGGAAATGGACAGCAGACCCAAATCTTACCTGAAGAAATATTGGCAACTTATTACTGCTGGGTGAGGAAGAGCTAATCTTCCTAAAGCGAGGGATTCTAGATTAAGATGACTAGACCTTTGTAGATGAAATTGTACCAAGGGATGTCTGGGGACACTAACTTGACACAATAGGCCTTAATACAAATGACAGAATATATGCATTCCAGTGGGGTGTGTGGGAGGGGGCCGGTGAAGAAGGGTTATAAAAATGATTAAGATTGAAATACAAAAAATTTCAATAAAAGCAAATTTTAAAAATCGTGTAATGTTTTAGATGCTTCCCTTCATCTTGGTTGGACAGCATCAGTTTTGATGAAATGCATTTAGATTCTTTGTTTCCAAGATGTTTTCACTATAGAAATGATGCTTTTTTAACCCAGCTTTCCTGAAACCTGCAGATTTTACATTTCTTTCTGGTGAATATAAAATCTGGTTGACTGTGTTTAACATTCAACCTCAAAGCCAGCACATAGTTGACTAGAAATAGACTCTAATAGTTACTACATACTTTATCACCATCACAAGGTTAAGCTATAAAATAGAAAGCAGCAAGGCATAAAAAATCACAGATTTTGTGTTATTGTCCTACACTTTAAGAACTCTCTAAAACAAGGCAAAATGTAGATGGAAATGGGAATGAACCATTCAACCTTTCATCCTCATTAGATGCTGGCCAGCCTTCTCTCCTTTGTCATCCCATTGGTCTTCCTGGCTACTGCTGGCATCCACTAACTTAGTGCTTCTAGAAATGTGCCTGTCCCACTGCTTTTATATTTCAGGTTTATTTTAATGTATATTAAATTAAATTATTATATATATTATATATATGCCAGCAAATAACTAATTGTCATCTATGTGTAAAGCATTGTGACATGTAACATAGTATTAATCCTCCTCACCCTTGTTGAAGCCCTGGCTTCATTTTATGTGTATGCTGTGGCTTATAAATACTATATTTTGATACTTGGTTTATGGACATGGAAGAGTAGCAATGTCAGTAACTCATTGGACTTCTGTTTGCTATAGTCCCCAACCCTTAAATCTTAATGCTTATGCATGCCTTTATTGCCAAAAATGAATAAGCAGAAATCAATATATAAAGGTATCTTTTTAATTGGGAATTCATACAATATATTTTAAGATATTTGTTTTTCTCCCCTATATTCACCATCCTTACTACTTTCTGCCCAGTTTTGTGTATTCTGTTATATATAGAA